GCGTTATACTCCACGTGAAAAACACATTGAAAAATACATTTTTCGCCAAGTAAAATGTGAAGTATGTTTCTCACCAGTATTTCTCATATCACGAGCAAAACTCCAATACAATGAGATAGACTAAATAAAACTTACTGATAACCCCTATAGACGGGCAGATAATGAACATAGAAAGCAAGAGGAAGAAACCTACCGCGTTCCTCTCTAGCGACACAGCTTTGGATCTTGCTCATCTCAGCCATACTGCAAACCGCCAACTCCTTCCCGGTCAACTCCCCCTTGCTGGCTGAACGATCAGGTAGCGTCGATAAGCCCATGCTCCGGCCAAGGTCAAAGAGGCGACCAGCCATCCGCTGATCTTCTGACGGTCTTTGAGCTCCTTCGCCCAGAATCTGCAACCGCTAAGTCGGCAATGTGCAACATCAGGACTATCGTAACATAGACCTCTGTTGGTGAACTACCACGTCGAGTAAAGAGTCCATACTATGGGCAACCAGTGTTGTTATATACGTTCGGTTTCCTCAGCTGAGCTCACAAGGTTCCTCACTGATTATAGAAGCTTAGATATGAATCCAGATAAAAATGCACAGAGATCAATTCGGAGTCCTCATATTGTCACCAACTATGTGTGAATTTTCCCACACTACGAGTGACCGTGAGAAGCGAAGTAAGGCTCACCTGAGCTGCTATGTATTCATCCATCACTCTTCCGCCTTTATGACAGTGCCGTACTGTGCAAGGTACCGTATACCCCGAGCTCACCACCGATGCCGACACAAACTCCCCGCCTTGAAGAACAGCTGATTCTACTAATGGTGATCTACGGACTCACCCATTCCGACGTAGATTCCTGAGGTTTTGCCGTTGGCGAACAGAGCGAGAGGAGCTCTTTTTGCCACGAGCACACCGGCCTGGGATGCCTTCTCATACAAGACCTGTAACAGGTAATCATCACCCGGTGATGGTCTACATCCGATTGACATTCGTCCGCAGTAGTTACTCGAAACGTATTTCGTTCGCCTGGGTGAATAATTCCGATTTTGTGATAATATCGCGCATCAAAATCGCGGGTATGGGACCATACGCTGCTGCCCTGGCACCCACGTCTTCCATCATTATCTCCAGCAATCTCTCCCTAGCCTTTTCACTGAGGAATTCATGAGAGCTCAACAATACTGATTGCAGAGCATTGCCGCCGTTCCGGCAGAACTCCAGCCCAGGGCCGCCCGCAGAGAACAGGACTGACTCGAGGATCTAAAGTAAAAATAAACGCAAGCTTAGTGACTAAGCTACCTCACCCGCTTCAAGTTGTCTTCATCGCCCATACCCACAGTTTGCGAAGTGTTATCATACGATAGAATACTTCCAGTCACATACCTGATGACTGTATAATCACGATATTCGCCATATTAGTCAAGAAATCAAATTTTCACGCGTTTGCACAATAAAAACGAAAGTAGTTAGCATAGACGTCGGTACTCTCGGTCGTTGGCATGTTCCAAGGACGACAAGGCGGCATAGTTCACAGGCCATTCGAAATCGGAGGGTCGGCTAGCTTCGCTTGAGGTCATCGCAGCATCGCCATCGCCATCAAGGGCTGGCCTGGAGACACAGGCGTCCGTTATCGAAAACGTGAACGTGTTACCTCCTCCGAACCGTCGTAGATTCCACAAGCCGTGGCCGATCGTCTCCCGCATACCCCGCCCGTATTGTTGTACAGCTGAAAATGACAACAAAATTTGCGTCACCGCGCCACAAAATTGTCAGCTCCTGCATGTGAAGTGCTCTCACCCGAAGTCTATGACCGCTACGTGGGACGGAGGGGCAGCCAGAGGCGGTGGGGGAGTGGGCGCGTTCGACGACATTGTTCAAATCAGACTGTGAAAGGCACTGCCGAAGAAAGAGAAAAATTTTAAAGCTGAGACGATGCCCTTTCATCGCATGGCGCAGACTAGACTGCAGACACCCTTTGTTCAGCACGAGCATGTGCCTGAAGCCCTGCATGAGATCCTCCTGCAGTCGATACCACACCAAGCGAACTTCGGGACGAACCACCGTGTAGATTGGACATTCATTCGAGATTGCTGATATCAATACATAGCTGGCCTCACGTACGATCACACGAGCAGGCCATAGCCGCGTCGACTCCGAGTACTCCATCGTATTCTTGTTGAAAACGGTAGAGGCAGGCCGTGTTGGTGTTAACCGCTTATCCAAACACCTCCTCACGTAGTACATGGAAAAGTGAGTTTGCCCACAGCTTCCCAGATTCTCATTCGCAGGCTTCAAAGATTCTCGACAACAGAACTGATTACCGAGCGGGAGGGACCTTCTGTTCGCCCGTCCCACTCCCTAGCCTTAGTGACAAACAGCTCTAGGCGTCTAGTTGGACATACATACGCGATGACGCCCATCACGCAATACTGTATTCTACATCGACTATCTCCTTCCCCCTTTATAATGAGGCATGCACGCAGCCATTGTTCAATCGTCCTACTCGAGCTATCACCTCAACCTGACGACGCCTATGGGGACGACTCTAACAGCTCGTTTGGGTGAAATAGCGTAGACGAAGAGGATGCCCTTATACACTGTACGACCCATGCCCGTACTACTACCCCTCCAACGCTCCCATCACTCCACTGCAAGCGACTTTCATCACTACCAACGCTGGAGCTGGCTTTGTCCGAGTGTGGAAAATTACCCGCAAGGTGGAACCCTGGCAAACCCAATACCGTAACGATCCGAACGATTGATGAAACACAAGAGACACCTGTATAGCATGAGAATGAAGTGAACGTGACAATGAGCATTCATGGCATCACCGCATCCCCAACCGGGCCATTCGAACAAGGAGTATTAGAAGTGAACTACTTCACTACCACACACCTGGCTTCTACTACTACTACTACTACTACTACTACTACTACTACTACTGGGCCCTACCTTAGTCCCTCCGCATAGGCAGAGTTCCCTTTGAAGTTCACATAGGCGGAGTTCTACCCTTAGTTCCTCCGTTACACTCGCTATTAGAAAATGGTTCTCCAAACCACAACACGACCGATGGTAAGTCCTGCTCCATCCCCTACTGTCGAGACTATCGAATGCTCCTCGTGAAGTTCCATGCAGGAAAAGCAGCACCAGCAACCGCCGTTGATTGTAGGAAAGTACTCCAGTCATGGCTAGTGACCAGGCAGACTGTACTCGGATCCAGCGCATACACCCAGAGTCCTCAAGCTGGTGTCGAGCCGCCATGTCGCATTCCATCACCATCTTCAGTCTTCCAGCGTCCTCCTATACATGCCGGCAGCCACTACCGCCTCTACTGAGGTCCGCTTCAGATCGATCGGCTTGACTCCCGCGAATACACACGCCGCCCCGAATGTGAATCACATACAGCTATGGTTACTGTTCCTCACGAATGTGCCACGCTCAGCCGTCGGATAGAATAACATGGCCAGGGGTCTTCGTCCAACCCCCAATGAGCTGAGGAGGCATCCATCACAGGATGGCGAGCTCAGCTCATACCGGCGCACTGATGATGGGCGACCCCCAAACTCCGACGTGGAACCGATGAATATTCAATAAAACATCCACGGTAGCACATTGGTCGTGACCAGCAGCTGCGAAGAACTCAAGTCAAGAGAATCTCGACCGAGCTGGCATACTCCTGGCTCTAATGATTCTAACCTCCCATAGCATTCTCTTTGATCGGTCACTTCGACACCTCCAGCTCCGACCAGCCGTGGAGCCATGTGAGGACTACGTCTGCTCCATACCTCAAGTGACCTACTCTAGGCTGGGCCTGTGCCGCCCCACATGAATGTAGTGCTATACTCCTTTGCACGCACGCGCACTGCGCACGCGTGCAAAACACCAGCGACAGCAGTAATCGACTACCCCTTGAGATCCCAGCTGTATACTCAAACAGCAACCAAATGCTTCAGCCCGATCAGAAGAGTTGGCAAACTAACAGGCAAGCGTGTCATGCTCCACCTGCTACTTAGAGGGTCACTGATGCACCAATTTGAAGTTGTGATGAAGCCACCTGCCGGACCAGCAATCAGTAAATGACCAACAACGAGGAGTTACTCGAAGTCTGACTCAAGCAAGTGATCGTCGCGATCGACATCGAGCCAGTCAAAGAGCGTGTTCAGATCCGTCTCGGGCGGCATCAGCCGTCGTTTCTCGCAAACCTAGGAGTATTCAAGACGCCATATCGCTCGCTAGAAGATCACCTGCGTGAAGTGGTCCCTCGGTATCCTCCTGCCATGGCTCGCTGTCTCGAACAGTGCTGTCCACCTTTCTGCCGGGTTCGATCCCTTCACTCGGCCCAAATTCCGTACAGCGTTGTTCAAGGCACTACGGAATGCCATCAAGATCTCGCTGGGGCGCAACGTCGTTCCCTCTAGGTTGTGGTCGAACAGGTCATAAAAAGTAACGCAGCCGTTCGGATGGAGGTACGCCTGTTCTCGAGGAGGCTCTATCCCCTGGGCTTCGAGAAACGCCCTAGCATAGTCTCCAATGACGTTCGCCTCTTTGCAGGCCACCACAAAAGTATCAAAATCGAGTTTCCCTTTGGAACTCCGCGGGTGAAAATAAAGTCGCCACGCTCGAACGACGTTCCCAGCTTTCCGTCGTGCCAATCTCAGCAGCTTGCTGTGCTCCGATCCGCGGCCTCCACCTTGGGTGATCGCCAAGGAGCTCCGCCTCCTCCGCCTCGCTATCGGTACTGAACTTCGTCGACGCTCAGTAGAGCGGTACAGGTTAGGATGGGACTCAGCCAACTCGGAAAGCTCCGACGAAGTGAGCTGGTCCAGCATGAGACCGAAGCAGTTGTCATTGGATGCCTCAGCCGCGCACACTGTGCACTTGACCATGAACGGTCGCAGTAAGTCGGCCATACCAGGCGTGCTCAGGAAGAAGATGATGCCGTCGCGATGGCCTTCCCGGCAAGCAACCTCCAAGGCGTACCTAGGAGTATATACTATACGCTCCTCGACCTAGACTGGTTTACCCGTAGTCCTTCTGGTCCCCTACACCTTCCGCGAGCATCTCCATCATTTCGACCTCCCTACTATGCATCACGCGAGGAGCCCATCGGCCAGCATAACGTATCCAGTGGACCTGATAGCAAGGAGTGGCTATGAGTGTAACACGTAGGGCATCACGAATGGCAACCTGCACGAAAACTATGGAGGGAAAAATCACCGAAGTGAGCTGAAGAAACAAGAGAGGCTCGAACCGATCGCCGCCATGGCCCGAGTCCTAGCGTGAAATTGAGACTGAAACTAGAATTTCTATTTCCCCAACTAGATGATATAGCTGAAATATATCCGTGGTTTTGTTCCAAAGCTTTCCCTTGAAAAGCTATAGCCGAAGCCGTTTCCGTGCAGCCTCTGAAACGAGCATGAAAACCCGTGAAACACCGCGGCTAGTCCCCCGGAGTGCTCACCAATTTAGCCCGGAGATTATCCCGATGCCCTTCAGTGTGTCCACCATGGAATATGCCTCTTACCATCTTGGACGACCCATACTCCCCTTTAGCGACCTTCTTCTGCTCTTCCTTTGCCTGAACAGCACCAAAATGCCGTCACCGCACCACGCGTGGACTGTGATCGTTTCCAGTTGGGTCCCTCTTGCCTGTGATTCGTGCATCCGTCTCTCCAGCTCTAAACGTTTCTGTATGGCCCCTTCGATCCGCTGACTGAACTTTCGAGCCCTCCAACTCCGTTGTAGCAACAGGGCTGCTTGCTCACGGTCCTTCTGGGTGAATAGCTTGGCAAAGTCATTATAGGGGCCTGCCATAACCACAGCAACACAGGACCAACAGGGCGGCCACGCACCTCCTGTAAATCGTCCACGGGCCAAGTACTGGCGTCGTCGGTCATCTGTCTCAGTGCCGCGTGCCGCCCATCGCTCCACATCCTTCCTGTAGCCGGCCGAGCCATCATTAGGATGCGTCCGTCGAGGACTCTATGAGAAGCTCAGCTGAGAACCGCCCTGGCAGACATACGTTGAGCCACACTCGAACTCGTCGAGCACTTCCCCTGGCGTTGGCCGCGACTCTCGTCCTGGCACGTTTAGCCTCTGCTTGGTGCTCTCGTAAGGAGTTCTCTATCGCAAACCAGGAAGGGCCGATTTTGCATGGACGGCTTAACTGCGCTCTAGTCGTTTGGCCTCCTTCGCTAAGTACTTTGAGCGATTGTCTGACCAGGCTTGCAGATCACGAGTTGCTTCATAAGTCAACGTAGAAGATACTTGCTCCTCCACTCTGACCATCTAGGCATCCCAGCAGACGTCCTTCCTATCGCCATCCGAACACAGCGAAGCACCCCTAGTCCGATCTAGATTATAATAGCCCGTCAATTCACCAACGTCTTTTTGGAAAAGATTCAAACTAAATATTCGCCCAATTGTAGAGATTTACGTTTCTCGAGCTTCTGCCGGCATGTCGAGTACATCTTTTTGAATGTGGTCCTTCACCAACGACGTCATAGAGCTGCTCAGGATCAATTCGGAGGAGGCATCCCCTGAGTTCCATCGGCTCCTATCCGTGCCCCTCCACGAGCCTACCATAGCCTCCAGGCCTGTATGTGAGCTGGCGTCCTTGTTTAATCTCAGAGTTGGTATCGTGCAACATCCTCAGCATGGTGAGCCTACCCCAGTTCGTTGTCTTATTGCCTATGTTATGTTTCATTGCTTTCTGGCATCTAAACCAAGAGCCCTCACGTAGGGAGGGCCAAGCAGGATATCCATTCACTACTCCCTGACGTCGTGTGGGAAAATATGCACATGGTCAACTACATGTGTAGGTGACATCTGTGGAAATTCTGCGAAAAAATTGATGAAATTCTCATCGGTTTCTGTACACTTCTACCCGAATTCGTATGTAAACCTGTATAATTAGTGAGGAAACTCCTGAGCTTAGCTGAGGAAATCGAACATCTATTCCAACACTGCTACTCTACCAATTTGACCACTCTCGAGCCGCACCACTGAATGCGACGAAGTGCGAATCGCTGTTAAATTCATAGGTTATCATTCGGGTTAACTAAGACGAGTTTGACCTGATAAACCTCTTCTCGGTAGCCTCATCCCATCGGAACGGGCAAGCATCGCGAGTGGTAGCCGGCGGTCTCTTCGGCCAGCCGCCGTCTCTGTCCATTTCCTCCAGGCACCGCTCCGCCGGGGCTCTTCTCAACTCTCGAGCTCGGCGGGCCGGTTGAATGAACTCCTTCATAGCCTCAGCCACATACTGCGTCTTCAGCAGCTTGCTCAAATGCGGGGCCTTAGCATACTTCCTAGTCTGAACACTGCCCTTGCCCAATGAGGCGTGGTGAGGGCCCTACCACACCATCAACATCTCGGGTAACACGTTTGGGCAGGTCTGGTATCTTGAGCCAGGGTAGACCCTTCTCGTTCTCATCTTTCTCCGTATTATATCTGGCAAAGTCCTTTCAGATTTCAAGTCTGATAAGCGGCTGAGATATTCACCTCTCCGCGACCCTTTTTCTATCGTCCTGCACTTTGCCGAATCGATCTCCCCATTTCGAATGCGCCTTCTCGAGCGCTTGGCAATTTCGTCGGAACCTCCTTGCCAAACTCGAACTTTCCGTCGCGGAGCGTGCCAGAAATTCAGCGATGTCGTGCTCCAAGTCCGCTGGACACTTGCTCCTGATGGGGTAACGGTCGTGTGGGCCACGGTCCTATGACCATACTAACGTGGGCTGAGGTCCTACGACCATACTATCGCGAGAATGCCGATGTAGATGCGATAGTGTGCCCATTCCGTATGGAGCACTACTACGGTGACCGTAGTATTACCTATTACGCTTGCGCACTGAAGTTAACATGACCGTACTAAGGTCACATTAGGTCAGTGCGCAAGCGAGAAAGCGAATTCAAAGAGATCCTTCCGTCACCAGAACGAAATGGTCCAGACTCACGCAGTCCTCTTACGAAAGCCTCCGCAATTCTACACCATTCATCTCATCCTCCAACGAGCCAAGCGAGTCGACCGAATCCGATGCAGCTAAGGACGAGACCGTCCTCGACACTACAATAGTAGTCAGATCAAAATCCTCTACCGAGCGTATGAGCAATAGCCTTCGAAAAGGCAGCGGTGACATCAGGCCCATCCAGGGGTTCATCGGAGGTACTTCCCCTAGGCATTTACTTAATTACACTACACATACCACTCCTCAACGAACTCCCCCGCCAAATTAACCACAAAATCCATCAGTAATTTGCAGAACTTGATGATCCTAAGCGCTGGCTCTACACCACCTTAAGTGGTATTCTGAAGCGTTGTAAAGGGGACATACCACTCCCTCAGGAACTCATGACGACCTTGCTATACTGCGTAACGCGGAACGTGATCACAGTACAATTCTCAGCACCCAACAAATTCTCTCATGATGATGATAGCGACATTACGGAATCAAGCATGTCAGCAAACAGCTACTGGCAGTAGCGACGGGGGTACTCGAAATAGGAATTCGTGTCAGCAAGAAATATCTATTATATCCCCTTCAACTACGCAGTTGAAAGAGGTAAAACTACACAGAGACGAGCCTGTTATAAATACAGTAGTAGCTTGACGGGACGAGCTACGCATAAGGTTGGAACCCTGTTATAAAGATAGCAATGTGATAAGCAGCAAGCAATATAGTAGCAAAATCATGTTCACTATCATCATCATTGCAAATAGTCGTCATAACATCTTTTTTCATTCTATCTACTCCTACTAGAAGTGCCGCCACGTCAAACGCGACAATCCCCTCAAAAGTACACTGCAGTCCTGCAAAAAATACAATATAATAGGGTAGGTGCTGTTGGCTATTCAACGCCACCACGGACAGTGGTATTAGCCTATCACCGTAGTGCAACCTCGTAACTGACCAAAACCGAGCTTGTTGTGAGATATCACACGATGAGGAGCGACGTGATTATGCTGTTGAGCGAGTCCGTACAGGAACCACTGAGGAGACCTGTACGGAATGTACCGTCTTGCTTCGACAGGGCCATCGGCGGAGCACCACAGTCTGCGACGAACCGTCTTCGATCCTCGAGATACACCCCGGAGCAAGAGTCTGTACTTCAAAACGCCCGACTTGTTTGCGAGGCATGACTTGGGCCTGCTCGGGAAAGCAATCACATAAGAATCGACCGACCCGGCGAATCCGCAGTGGCTCGATGGCCACACTGCAAGCCGTGCTGGAACTGCTCGTGTAACCACACTCAGTAGTAGTGACGCTAGTAGCTGACTTGACCGAGTCGTCACAACAACCGGTAGGGGAAGCATCACCACCGCAACAGTCACGATAGGAGACTCTGGTATGATAGATGTGAGACGCAGCTACGCCTTCGCAATCCACCGCCTCCTCAACGAAGAATCGGCCGCGCCTCTCGACGCCACTGATACGTAGCGGGACCAATTCGGCCATCAAAGGAGACCCGGAGAGGACTCCGTAGAGAGATAATCCAACAACACCTACACAGATAATTAAACCTACATCATTGATCGATGGAAACTTGCCAAGCTCACTGCGATCGTTTCCTGACGATTGAATTAGCGCTCGCCCGAGAAAATTTGAAACGCCCACGCTTTTTCCCATGTCTCCAACTCTACACGGAAGTTCATAGAAATCCTTCATGAGATCGGAGCACTCTCATCGTGTCATTTTGGAAAGGCACAAGCATGGGCATACACGCGCTTCTCACTGGGAGGTTAATTACTTTGTCCGTTAAGTCGCGCACTCTCAACAATGAGGGATGTGCGACGTGCTACGATAGAGTAGAACAGGAATCAAAGTCAGCTGAACTCACTGCTAAGCCGTGATGCGCTTCGATGAGGCTCCGAACTTGATTGCCACCCAGCAGAGTTAGCCAAGGATTCGCAGCATAATGTGTAGCTTCATCTAACCCTTCGAAATCCTAAACACCAAAAAGAAACGGCACACGTCAATGCGCACTATCCTCGCGAGCGCGAGGATAATGAATTTTCATTTGTTCCGTCGAACCAACCTGGCCGAGATCGAGTGCTTCTTTGATCGCCTTGTCGAGCGGCCTGATGGTCTCTTCGAGTTCCCGCTGTACTTGGGACAACAGTCCTGTCATCGCATGTGCTCGGATGTGCTTCGCATCATGCATCTTCTGTTCGTAAGCAGCTGCGTACCTGAGCCGGGTTTGCCCCCAGGTGTCAGCAACACTACACCACGTAGCCTCTAGGTAGTTCAACAGTACTTGCCTTTTGATTGGTTTGATCAAGTGGGAATCTTTTGGATGCATTGATACCCATTGCCTCAACACGTTAGGAAGCCTTTCAACACCACTACGATGGGCAACTGTATGATGCCGATGGACTTCATGAAAGGCACTCGGGTGTGACAACACGACCATTCACTTAGGCAGGTGCCAAGGGACAAGACTGCGACACGGATGTATGCGACGCCCGATCACGTCGAACGCCATATAGTACTTGCGACCCAAGTCCCCAAGAATTGCCTTCAATTCGGCGAGCATCCATGCTTGTCGTCCTACTAATCGACTTTGGTATGTTACAAGAGCTTTCTTATTCATTGAGCAGGTCCCAACACATCGAGCCCAGTCGGTGATTTTACGTACGACACAATTTGGGCGTGTGAGGATATCGATCGGGCGCGCGCTAAATCGATCGCGCAACTTCGCCGCCGAGTGGAAACGAGACAACTTGAATAATCAGTCGAGGTTGACAGGCCACGCCTATGACTCATGGGCTATGAAACCCCTATGCTTCTGATGATCAGGAGTGTTCTGGTGTCTGGGAAACACGGTGCCGTCGATCATCTGATAACTCCTTTCCTATCTCAATAACTATATTTCCAGTCCGTTCAAAAATAATCGGTCATGTGTCGCCCATTAGCATTTCCGTTTTCTCGTGGGGAATGTCCCACTTCATCCCCACGGTATACACTGAGTCAACGACGTGGACTCGGGACTCTCATGACCTCTTCGATTACGAGAGCCAACACGTTGTTCGCCGGGACTTCGCTTTGAACCAAACGGTCAGATTCGTGCGGAGAAATGGTAAGCGCAAGAACGTGGTATGTGTCGTCAGCCGGAGAATCGATTTTCATCGTAGACGACGTTCGTATAGAAGATGCGTCGGTCGATGCGATTCCTTCAAGAGAGGAGTCGGACTATCTCATGAAATGTATCAATTTCGATTCAAGGTACCCATGCTTTGTACAGATGTCCCTGGACGCGGGTGTTATCAGGTTCATGATACAACCCGCAGATAAACAGTCGGGCACATGTCGGCTGATCCCCAAGAGTCTTTGGCTTGTTGTGAAAGAAGTAAAACTCGCACTAAGTCTGTAGATTATTGACTGACTTTCGACTTCAGCTTGGACCCCATACCCTTCTGGAAGGGGACATCATCAAGCTGGGTCGTTTCAAATTGCGTGTGCGTCAGCTCTGTGCAGACTCCGAGGATCGCTTGGTGATATCCCAGCAGTGTTAGAAATTTAGAGTGACCACAAATCCTCTTTGCAAGGTTCGACCAATTCTGAGCAGCACTGACCCTGCGACCTCGGTAGCTCGATGCGCCCCTCCAGAAGCCGATGGCATGCCGTGTAGGATCTGTCTACTTGAGGTTGGTATGCGTCGGGATGAAGGGTCGCGTTATCTTGACGTACTAGGCTTCTGGCTCGGATGAAGATGATCCATTGATTGAAGCTTGCGCTTGTCGAGGGAGTATCCGTTATGTTCATCTCGGCTGTTTACGTCACTGGATAGAGGGAAGGTTGTGCCTCGGGGGGAATGATGGGCATAATACTCCACACACGTACGTGGCGATTGTGTTGTCCTTCGTTAGAATGTTTCTGTAGATATCTCTTTCATCAACTCACGTGTGAGCTCTGTCGGACGAGCTATCCGATGAACGTCGTGCTCCCTGATGGAACCACTTCCCAGCTCGTGAGTCACCAATCATAGAGATATCATGGAGTTCGCTTTAATTAGGTACCGATGCCTGAGACCAAAGCGCCTTATTTGGTATTGGAGAATGTGATGCGAATTGATCCCAGAGAAGGTAATATCTCGGGCGTTGGATCCAGCGGTGTCGAGGTTGGCCAGCTCAGTACCATTCGATTAGGGACAATAATCACAAGTCTGTCTGGGCGTTGTCTAGAATTGGGCAGCTGCGTACAAGTGCGGTACTTCAGGTATGAACGGTCAGTCCTCTATGCACTCCAAGGGTGTCTACGTTATCTCCCTCGCGGGTAAGAAGGCACTGAAGCTTGGTAGAGGCCACGAGAGCGACGTGAGAATAGCTGATGTAGGATTATTGTCTCTTCGCAACGTCAGAAATTGACAGCCACGATGCAGGTTTCGATATCTCGTTGGCACGCGACGGTTTCGCTCGCGGACGATGGAAGATTTATTCTAGAAGACCATAATTCGAAGTTCGGAACGCTTGTGGCAATGCGGCGTCCAAAACTGGTCAATGCCTCAACAGGTCCGTTAGTGGATGATTATCTTGCGGTATAGTTCTCCTCTGCATTGGGCGTTCCTCTCCCATGTTCGACCGCCCAGGGGAAAAGCCCTGGGCACTTCAGTTTGCCCGAATATCACGCCGTTGCTTGTGAAAGACGCTCTTTATGGAAGCATCGAATCGAACACACCCGTTTCGTTTTTGCAGAACGGCAGTTCATTTCAGGCGACGATGCGGCCGATGCGGGAGGGTCAATATTGACAGTTCAAGCTGGAAGAACGGTTTTCAGGATAAGCACAAGGAAACCTAGGTGAGTCCGCAATGGGTTCGGCCAGAATCCTCACTTGGTCGTTGACAGGGATGAGGTGTCTGAAGAGACCACGATACCAACAGAGGGAAACGATACCTTCATCCTGACTGAGAATATGTTGACTGGTGGTGCGCAGTCATTGTAGCTCTATGATCTGACGGCGACGGGCTCAACAAGATTGTGATTCATTTCTGCGGTTGTAGATTCTGCTCTGAGCTACTGTCCTTCATCGAATTAACTATAATGCGGCTGTAAGTATCACTGTAGTTCAGTGGCCGCGACATACCTCAGTTTAGCTCCCTCGAGTAGCCTCGATGTACGATTGTTTTTATAAAGCAGTTAGTACTCAGATGACCCATTTCGTGAGATGTGTTCGACCACTTGAAGCTCGCCGCTTGGCGGAGATCATATTTTTGTCATTCCACAGTTGATTGTTTTGAGTTCGATGAGTCATTTCACTCGACCTAGTACCGGGAGTGTCCAAACTGGTGTGTTTGGCTGTGAGAGGATAGTATTAGGTTGTGTTGGGCTCACCTATGCTCGTGATCGGTGGCCACTGCCTCGGATGCTCAACCTACCGAGCAACATTGACTATCGCACTGGCTGCGATATATTGTGGTCAACTTACCACTAGTAGATCACCAGAAATCATGTTCAGAAAGGTGTCGAAATCATGCGTAACCATATCCTCTCTGTGTTGAGAGTAATGCTGGATCTCGCCATCAGTGATGTCGGAAAGGTTCGAAGAAGAAACAGCGTGAGTACGGGGGGGCTGACTACGGGTACGTGAAGATGCTCGAGTTGTCCTTTGACTAGTAGACGCAAGAGGGGGTGTCATAGAAGTGAGTGAAAGACGCACTGATACTCGTGATGTACCGTTACACTACATCAAGCGAGATCAAATGACTAATACCAATAATGCAGACAACTGTGTGCGCTCCAACCTAATCGATTCTATCATAGCTGCTGGAAGTGCGCACAAACAGAGTATGCAGAGATACTGCTTCTCATGTACCATCAGTAGTGCTATAAGCACCGACAACAAGATTGTGGAATAAGGAAACACAGAGTAAGAAGAATAATAGCTCACTTCGCAATATATTTCCGTTAGCCTCGACCAACATAGGGCTCACGCATTGTGCGTTAATGTGCAAGCGTGCAAGCTGAGTATCATCTCAGCATTCTCCGGCCCCAGCACTAAGAGCAGCTCTACGCTCTCGCCGCTCTAATCGCGCTTTACTTTGATCAACCTTACTGGGTTGATACACAGGAACAGAGACAGTAGAATTATGGGCCCTAAACCCAGTAGGCCTCGCACAGAAGGTCAACTCGGTGGGATCCACATCGGTAGCAACAGCTAAATTGAATAAAAATTGTACACTTAATTCACCGGAATGATTTCTTAGGCTTGCAATTTCACCCCGTATATCGTCTACCATGTAGAGAGCCTCGGACCACATAGATTGGAGCTTGTGATGAGGCTTGAATACTCGCACCACATCACCAACCTTCACATGTCCCTCGGGAGTACCACGTCGCCGACGAGAACTGTTCATCTTATCCACCAACTGTGCACGGTGGTCATCCCACTGCCTCAAATAGTTCTGAAGGGTGCCTTCCATTTTATTCCGGTGTGCTAAACGTCGTCGAGCTTGAGCCGGTTTAGAGGTACCATCAATACCCCGTCTTTCGCTGTAAGCCTGGGCCTCCTTCGAAAGCACACATGAAGCCCGATAACAAGGAGGAGGGCAGGATCCACATAACCGAACCAACTCACACGCTGTCACCCGTTCACCAGAAATTCCGCTCAGAGGAAGGACAGAATTGTTAACAACCCAAGTAGCATGTTGCAAGAACCTCGGCCAGGAGTCAGTGGGAGCTCGCGCCGCACGCATAAGATGCTTCAATGCCAAATGGAGCAGATGGTGTGAAGGTTCCCAGAAGGCTCGAATAGGAGCATATGGCGGGTTTGGCACTTGTCGGATCCCGTACTTCTCGACGAACTTTTTCACGGCACCACCCATCAAAGAGACATCTCGATCGTGACACAATACCACCGGAAATCCAAATTGCCAGCATAATGACTCCAGCGCATCGGCAATACACTCACTTGTCTTCCTCCTTAAAGGCGTAGTAACCATATAACGAGTGACTGCTTCAGTAGCTATCAACGAGTACATGTAAGGTGTTTCCTCCGATGGATCTTCCGCCGCACGATCTGGAGCTATAGTTGAGCCAAGATACGGGCCTCCGATATCGATAGCCAGGACCTCCCAGAGTTGACCAGACTTCAGGGAGGTTCCATAGGCTCTCGCCGGCTCCTGCCTGCGAGAATGTGTCATTACACAAGTTGTACAAGCTCGTGTCCACTGGCGAATATTCTTCGTCATCTTCGGCCACCAGAGTCCATAGTCCTTTGTGAGAATCGCATAAAGTTTACCGGTTCCACAGTGAGCGAAAAGATCATGCACCATACTAAAGGCCACTCTTCTCATTTCCTCCGGCACCAGAATCTGCTCATTGTCTACAGGATTTATCCTGTAGATGACATCATCATTCTCTACATACGAGCGCCTCAGGCGAGAGCTTTCCGTTGAAGAGAGGGAAGTCGGTTCATGGCGCAATACCGACAGGACCATTTGACAGAATCTATCCTTGGCCTGGGAGTCAACCACCTTTTGAACTAATCCAATATCCTTGCGATCAGCAGCATGACTTCTTTTATCTGCCGTCGTAGTCTGAAGTCCAGCATCAACTGCTCGATTCAAACCGTCATCAGTGTGACCAGGATCCGAACCAACTTCAGGCACTCGACTCGAACCGTCATCAGTGTGACCAGGATCCGAACCAACTTCAGGCACTCGACTCGAACCGTCATCAGTGTGACCAGGATCCGAACCAACCTCAGGCACTCGACTCGAACCGTCATCAGTGTGACCAGGATCCGAACCAACCTCAGGCACTCGACTCGAACCGTCATCAGTGTGACCAGGATCCGAACCAACCTCAGGCACTCGACTCGAACCGTCATCAGTTTGACCATGATCCGAACCAACCTCAGGCACTCGACTCGAACCGTCATCAGTGTGACCAGGATCCGAACCAACCTCAGGCACTCGACTCGAACCGTCATCAGTTTGACCATGATCCGAACCAACCTCAGGCACTCGACTCGAACCGTCATCAGTTTGACCATGATCCGAACCAACCTGAATTGCATACAACCCATTCATAGGAGGGAGCTTGCCGGTAACCAGTCTCTCTTTGAGCTCATCAAACCGCTCGTCTAGGCCTCGCACATAACATCTGTATTCCTCCGAGATAGAAGACGGCGGTACCATGCCTCGAGATGCACTGTCAGATGGATTCAACCTTCCGGCAATGTGCCCAATTATTACTGGGCTATCCGGGTCGCTAACCCATTCACGTAGGTGCTGAATAGCTCGGATATCCCATGCACAGATCTTCGTCGAGATAGCACCAGTGTTAACCACTCTCTGAACGTTGATAGAGCTGTCACTCAGGACAACTACCCTTCTTGTCTTGGGGTCAGCGGTCAATAGCCAAAGTGCCATCTTTTTAGCCTCTAGAATTGCATATAACTCTAGCCTCGGTATACTCCAACGCTCATGTGCTGCATCATGGAGAGCAGCCTTAGCACATAACCGCTGGCCCTCGAGGTTCGTGGCCACCACTCCCCAGCCTATCGCAGAAGCATCACTTGCAACGATAACTGTGTCACCGGGCACATATCTCCCGTAATTGTCAGCTCTGGCCACCATAGTCTGGAGGATCTCCGCTCGTCGAACCAACTCAAGATTCAGCGGGTCATCCATCTTGACGCCTTCTCGGATCGCTGTCCTCAGTATAATCCTGCCTGCCATGGCGTACTCAACCCACAGTCCTAACGGGTCGAAGTGACTGTTCAGCCAAGACAGATACCGACGAAGGGTGAGCGTGTTATCAGCTGCCATTTTCAAGCAAGGCAACGCCTTCATAGTGAGCTCATCCGGACCAGACAACCATAGCAAGCCGAACAAGGATGCCTCCAACGGCGCTACCTCACCTGATGGCTCATTTTGTAGCCTTTTTTTGACTTGCTCTGTGAAGCCGTTCTTGCGCAAATGTTCAGAATATGATATCGCCAACTCATCTCTAACCACGGCAGTGTCAGCTCCTTGAGCAATGTCGTCCATGAAGGAGCATATAGCATACTCCTCATTAGACCATTTGCTGTGCTCCACATATGATGCTTGGGTTATATGTAATGAAGTCTGCAACATCGAGGGCGATGAAGGGAGTCCCATCCCGGCGCGAAGCAAGATATACCAAGTCCCTCGCCAGTAGAACCCTTGCATGGCCGCATCAGATGAGACTACACCGAGAGCATAGAAAGCCTTCTCTAGATCTAGTCTCGAGAAGTATCGAAACCTTCGAATCGTCATTAATGGCCTGGTCACTGATCTATCGAGTATCCGACCCGCTAGAGCATATCCACGGAGAGACCGCCCATCTAGGACCAACCTAAGTGGTGTACTGGAGCTCGGACTTTTTACCAGAAGCAGGGCATATGCATGCTTAATCTCTTCAACCTTGGCTTGCCTGGCGAAGCCTCGATCTACCAACATCCGGACTTGTGAATCACATGCTTCTAGGGCTTCTGGCGTTTTCCGCAGTCGATTCTCCAACGCAATCGAGCTTCTGTGAGCCCGGATCAATGACGCCTCACGATCCGGACGATCACTAGACGCCCATGGTATTTGATGCATATGCCGCTTGATAACCTCTCGCTCCGAAGCCGCACCAGGGATCACAACAATCTCCTCTACCATTCCCAAAAGGGTGCCATCTTCACCCTGCGATTCCAACTGTATCTCCACGTCCTCGCAGTTCCCAGTTGAGCTCCCCAACCATGTATCCTGTCCATACTTCCTGCAGTTGACCTCATTCCTGTCAGCCATGGCCAACAACAACTCATTAATCTCCTTCAGCGAGGAGCCTCTAATGTAGGGTGCAATCCCACAACATGAGATGGGTTGTTGACCTCCTTGTGCCGCTCGAACAGTGGCTTCCACGACCGTGGGAGATAATCTTATCGTCATCGACAAGGCCTGCAGTGTATCCATGCCACAGATGATCGCTGAGGAGAGATCCTCACATACATAGAACCATCCAGCATAGATAGTACCACCGTGCGAAACCTTGAGAAGGACTTGCACACGTGTGTCCAGAAGGGATCCATTAGCACACCGAACATGAACGGCCTGGACCTCTCTCCTGTCCCACACGTGCTGTCGAATTTCTTGCAAGAAGGATCGGCGTACAAAGCTAGCAGCCGCCCCCGTATCCAACAAGACTACAACGGAGGTTGCAGTCATCTCCGTTCCAGAATCTGGACATGGCAGCAACCTCAATTCGGCACGGAGAGCTCCGTACACATGAGTCCTAGTATCATCAATTGTACAACATGCACCCGGCACTGTCTCCACCGAGATGGCATGACAGAACCCAGCTGTATCATTAAACCCGTCAGAATATTCGGGGTAGATGAGAAGGTTCGCCTCAGAAACACCCTGTGCTGCCACTCCAGTGGTCGCATTGTTGGCCAAACCCGGGGCAGGGCTAGACTGACGTGGGGCTGGGGCTGGACATATTGCAGGGGTATGACCTTGTACTCCACATCGTGCACACATCGTGGACTCTATCCTCTGAACCACACATGATTTTGTTGAATGGCCTCGACAGCCACACTTTTGACACCTCAAGGCGACATCGATAGGAGTGGACTGTCTGCATCGACTTGCTCTATGCCGCGGCTTCGCACATCTGAGGCAGTCTTGCCGATGCTCTGCCAGAACTCCATGTCCACACCCTTGTCCACAAGGAAACACCAGTTTAGGATGATTATCACCATTAGACTTGTGGGAGTGAGACACGTTTGAGCCACCTTCGCCTATCACTGCACAGGTGGGATCCGAGGGCGTACTGACTTCATTCAGTCCGATAGATCTCCCCCGTTGAGCTCCTTTAACCTTTGAATCAGGATGGTTCACACGCCAGTAACGTCGGATGCTCTGCTTGAAGAGTCCGAAATCGGTGATACCGGCTAAATGTACTTCGGCAAACTGTTGCACCTCTTCAGTCAAGCCTCTTAGATAATGGGCTATCACAGTATCAGTAGTCATAATCTGATCGGTGGCCGCCTCAATCTCAACCCTAAGTAAGTCGAATGCATAGTCGTATTCGTCAATATCGCCCCTGACAGTCGGAGCATCAATGGTGAGGTTGTGAAACTTATTAATAAGTCGGCGGCGGTCCGCAGGAGACGTGTAGGCCACCCTTAAGATCGCCATTACTCGAGCATAGATGTCAGCATGCTCGAAGCTTTCTATATGTAACGGGAGCGATCCATTATGGCGCTCTTCATACGACCGTAATACTTGAGCTCTAACTCCATGACTCAGATTTTGCAGCAGGACCGCCAGTCGCCAAGAGTCACTCCCAGCACTGAAGGTCAGGTCAACTGACAGCTCTCTGAGGAACTCGTCCAAGCATCGAGGATCAGTGGAACCCTTGTATTCTCCACTATGCAACCGTCCTGCTTTTCGAACAGCCGTCAGAATCTCAGGGAAGGGCTTTCCCCCTCGACGACGTGGGACAACTGAGCCATCAAAGACCTCCGGCGTTGCTCCTTGAACTGACGGGGATCGCTCGGATCTAGTCCGAGCCCCCTGCTCCTGGAGCGTAGTGACCAGACTTGTCAAAGTAGCAAGAGCATCTGTAACCCCCGTCATTCTTTCTTCAACAAGGTCCTTGAAGACATCTAACTCGTTTCTCGGATGATAATGCTGGATCTCGCCATCAGTGATGTCGGAAAGGTTCGAAGAAGAAACAGCGTGAGTACGGGGGGGCTGACTACGGGTACGTGAAGATGCTCGAGTTGTCCTTTGACTAGTAGACGCAAGAGGGGGTGTCATAGAAGTGAGTGAAAGACGCACTGATACTCGTGATGTACCGTTACACTACATCAAGCGAGATCAAATGACTAATACCAATAATGCAGACAACTGTGTGCGCTCCAACCTAATCGATTCTATCATAGCTGCTGGAAGTGCGCACAAACAGAGTATGCAGAGATACTGCTTCTCATGTACCATCAGTAGTGCTATAAGCACCGACAACAAGATTGTGGAATAAGGAAACACAGAGTAAGAAGAATAATAGCTCACTTCGCAATATATTTCCGTTAGCCTCGACCAACATAGGGCTCACGCATTGTGCGTTAATGTGCAAGCGTGCAAGCTGAGTATCATCTCAGCATTGAGTCCCGCGTTGTTCGACCGGATACGGAACTCCCGAAATATGTGACCATCGAACAAACTTGGAATGAACGACTCTGTCCTTTATGAAAAATACAGCCCCGACTGCTAATACCAGATTAGATTAGACTATGAGTGAAGGTCCAGGCTTGCATGGGGCAAATTCAAGCAAGCGTAACAAGTATCGCTCGTGCGTGCGTGGCGCACGCCATTGTGATCGACCCGAACCAGAAAGTGGTGCAACCGGTCGAGACTGGAGTGACAGCAATCTGGCTGTCCAGGAGCCTCTCGAGCCGGTTCCACCCTGGAATTTTTCTTTTACCTTCACTAGTTGTTTGGGGGACATTGCCTATGTGCCTGCGTGCTAGGCAATGTGACTGTGGTGTTAAGCCAATGCACGGCGTGTTGTGAGGTTCGGTATTATCACCGCCCTCTGCTGCCTAGTTGGCTAACACTCAGTCTCACCCAACACTCCCAAATAACTAATGCGATGCGGTGAAGCGTGCCTTGATTGGATAAACACCATTTCTTCTCTTTCGCAAGCCTAGCTTCACACCCGAATTTCGATCGTCCTTATCGACAGGTCGAAACTATCCGCTCGATAGTCTGACTTCTTCGGCTTCAACGACACTTTTACCACCAGTCATCAATGGCAACAGTACTGAGATGATTACCAAGATTCACAATGTGGAGTGACTAGTTGCCGGGAGTACCTTATTCGCAATATCCAGAGGTTTGTGGTTACCAATGTTCTTTGAGTTTCAAATCAAGTCGGGTGATTACACCAAATCACGCTCGCATCGAAGCTCTTGTGCCTGGGTCTGAGCCAATGGGATAAGTCAGAAAACCTGATAATATCACTAGTCGGAGGACGGCTCCAGGTTCATAACGGAGCTCTCGCGTACACAGGCCGCAAACTTAATGACGAATACAAAAACGAGACATGACACTCCACCCCAAGTGCATGATAACACAAAAGGATAATCGAGAGAGAGAAAGGTCATGTTAATCTCATGATGTTGCATCATGTTGACTCGGGGCTAGGCCGATCCTCATCCGTGCTGTAAGAAACATCTTGCCGTCCAACAGTTATGTCATATCCCGTAGTTGTCTCACCCCGATCGAAAACTGCGTAATAGCTTCTCAAGAGTGTACTGCCTAGTATCCACAAATCTGACAATAAGGCGCCACCATCAGGAGCGGAGTGCCAGGATTCTCAGGTCTACCTCTACTGTCGAACATCTTCACTCCAGCGAAACCTGGCTCACAGTCCACACTGCTGTTGGTTATATAATACTGCTCCGCCGACAGGGATATTTCGTGGACACTCCCTGTGGATTCACCCTGGAGGAATATGGTAACCTGAACACCGTTCATTGACACCAGCACAAGCATGGTCGCTGTAACGAAAGGCAGGCTTCTGAACTACATTAGGCCCTCTACAGTCGTCCGTCTCAAGAGCACCCATGAGCTCAATGCTGCTGTGCACCGGGCCAACGACGAGACTCGTCCCAGTATCAACCAGGGCCGAACAAGAGTCATTGCACAGGTGAAGCCGACGGCCATCAACGGCTATGTCAATCATGGGAACAACCCATTCCTGGCACGCTCAAGCGATCTCTTCAACGGAATACACTTCACTGAACCTGGCGTCCTGAATGATGCGCTTTCTCCACTGGACTCCACATGATTGCATGGCCACTGGCTATTCGACCGTGTTCAACACTCCCAACTGACAGGGAACCATGAAACCGAGGATTAAAAGAGTGATAAAAGCCCAGAATGTGCAGCTGGTCGCAGGAGTCGATCAGAGATGGGCCAAACGGATCTATGGGTAGGGTGAAGCCCAATCTGAAAATAAATGGCTGACGCTCCAGCGTCTGCTTGTCAGTGACTTCACCCGCATATACCGTCCGCTGGCGACATTGCAAACGGGAAGCGACTCTCTCCCACACTAACGCCGAAGGTCACTTCCCTCATTGTTACATTGTCAATCTGACCAGAGAACTCTGAGGATGATCGTCTACTGCAACTCACCTCAATCTTGTCAGTTTCACGCTGAAGCTTGACATTGCCAGTACCATAACGAATCGGAAACTGATGAAGCCACGTGAGAAAGGGCTCAATATTGGAGCACATTACCAATTTGGAATCGTCACTGCTGCGCATACTATGCACGAGGTGTGCGGTGGTCGACAGCGACTCGACAAAGCGCTGAGAACAACCCAGCTATGCTCTTCGGGATTGCCATGAGAGCCTCTACCTTGTGGCGTCGACAAGCAGCGCTGCGACACCTTCGTCCAGGTACCCACAGTGTGGAAGATCCCGTGTCATATACGACTGGGAAAGGAACACACATTCACAGCAACCGGACGAGCCCAATAACTAACCCTTGAAGGTCTGTCCTGGAGTACCAATCTTTATATTCCCATAGAACTCAGCGTTGAAGAAGTTCGTCAATTCCAGAGGTTCCTGAACTAATGACGAAGACCGCATCGCTTTGAAGTTCCTCCGGAGGATTGGGAGCAAGCGAGATGCGCGATCTTCCAGGCAGCTGTATGCACTATACAGCGGCACAATAGCAGACGAGACGGCAGGAACCACGGATCCTAATATCGTGAGGGCGAGCATGAGTCACAACTTCTCCGAGGAAGCTGCCATCAGCGACGACCATCGCTCAGGTAACTCGACTTGAATGATGGGGGGTACTGTGAGTCAAGTCTTATGAACTGGCCTTGCAAGAGGTCTACGGAATGACTTCGGTCTTGGCTTCACAGATTGGTCGACGGCGGGCCTCGAGTCGACTTGAAGAGCGTCAGACAGTCGATCGGAACAAACTAGAAGAACGATGCTAAGGAGAACACGAGCCTGACGCCACCATCGATGTCGACCTTACATGAGAGCGAAGATGAGCGCGGCAATAGTCAAGCCCTGGACGAGCTCCTGGCTTAGAGTCCATACATCAAGCTCCGATGCTCGAGGACTGTACGGCATGAGGGTTTGGAAGTTCTAAAACGAAATGATAATCTGAAATTAGATTTCGGATTGTTGGAATCTGGATGATCGATTTGCCCGTCGATGGGCCGGATTCGGACCTCAAGATACGCCGCGCGTATCTTTCTGTATCCTAGGTTGGTGCAAGCAAGATACAAAAGAGGTCCGGCAGAGGCACACATCGGCTAAATCGATCACTCTCCCAGAACGAAAGCACAACCATCGGTTAGATAGGCTACTCACGAGTACTAGCGGTGCGCCATCATATGATATGATTCATATCTTCGCTTTACTTATTATAGGTATCTTACTAACCTCACTTTTCTGTAGTTATGATCATATCAGACTTCCACTCAAGCTCCCTGCTATAACTCCACCCTAATCGACTGGCAACAGCATACAGACGCACCACAGTGGTAGAAAAATGATCGTAAGTAGAATAAAGGGAATTGTTTGTGACTCGTAGAAAATGATGCTCATTCAGGTACCAGAACTCCGTCCCCAAGGCTTAGTGTGATGTTATTTCGTCGATGTGAGCGTTGTTCGTTGACTGATGAATGCTGCGAATCGAGAGCCTGGCTTTCTCATCCTGGTACTGTGACCATTTCAGGGCTGTAAGAAGCGGCAGGCTGCGAGATAGTTGCCTCCTAGACAGTTAACTTGAGGACCATGAAACCGAGTAGGGCATGTTTTGACCCTTTCTCAGAGATCTTGAAATTGGTAGAGTTGCATGTCCGATCATGTCATCTTCGTTTTTCTTCAGAACCGAAACTTCGTAAGAAAGCTTCTCAGCAATCGCCAGACAGTCTTCACCATTCACGACAACTCTTCCGCATTCAAGATAGCAATGCACACTCCCGTCGTGTTTCTTTAGATGGACAAGTAACTGCCTGCCACCGTTATTCTCGACGAATTTTCATCATGGAATCATCTGCAAGATGAGCCAAACTCAAGCTTCATCTCACTTTCCTCACCCAGTAGCTTTCTTAACATAGCAATGTACTTAATCAAAAATGTGTACGTTCGCATGAAGCCCCTTGCCAAGGACTCCTTGTCGGTGGCTCCAGGAAGTTAGTCGAGTCACTCGCAAGATACCGCCTTCGAAGTTCGGATGCTCAGCAATCCGCTTCGTAAGATCCAAGATACTTCAAACTCGACGACTCGTAACAGATTAGAAAACAATCCAAGGCGAATATTTTTCACTAGATGTGGGTGAAAGAGACTCAGTTCGCCTTGGTCTTCTTTGCAGCACGAGCTTCCATCTTCTTCTCGTGTTTCAAACTCTTAGAAGTGTGAGACTTCTTTTTGGAGGGCTGAGAAAAAAGCAACATAAAGACAACTTGGCCGACTCGATACTTATTATTTCTAGACGATTAAAAATTCGACATCCTAGCACAAGCGCTTACTCCTTCCTCTTGCTGTATGAGTCTTTTCGTTGCATATGCGGCGATACCGAAGAAAGCAGCAAATACGCCAAGCATATACACGGCCTTCTGCAGACTAGTCATCGAATCGCCGGGAAGGCCCACAGCTCCTCCACTGCTTGCTTCGCCCTAACAACGGAAATAAGTTGAACTTCGAAGAATCTCACGAGATTTTTTTTCAGAAACCGTACCCTGAGGATCTCCTCTAAAAGTCCGTACTGTTCAGAAGACATTTGACCGCTAGGTCCGCTGGAGGTTTCGGTGTTGAGCATGGCGGTTATTTTCGCATCATCCTCCAAAAACTTCGCAGGGGACGACTGGTAATCACCTGACGCAAAACCGCTTGGCAAAGTGAACATAACGCACCACAGACTACAAGAGCTTACGCATCAGTTCTGGGGTGATATAAAAATAGCAATTCCGGATCATCCCCATCTGTATGAACTGCATAGCCTGATCGGCTTGGACCTGATCGAGATACCGTAACAAGCCCAACAGGATGAACTCGATTCATCTGAGCGCCGAGCACATCGCGAGACGGGTAGATTATTACACCGTGCTGGTTCATGATCTGGTCGATGGTATCCTTCAGATCTGCTTCATGACGGTTAAAGTGTATCCTCGCGACGGACAAACACGCCGACATCCTGTCTTTTCTTTGAGTAGGAGTTAAATCCTGGTCAACCTGAGCATCACAAAAAGCCACGATAGGACATTTGCCAACGCGCTGTTCTATAAGACTATTCTGTCCTCAACGAGGCTCCGTGCACGGAAACTATCAGTCCTGTAGACCTCCGAGTCACATACTGGCAGCGAGCGCCTCTACAGACACTCTGAGGGGCTCCACACAAGGAGCACTAGGTGTTGTTGACTTGCAAATCAGTAGGAAACGTACCGCATTAGCCTCCTCCTCCTCGCGTTTGGCCTTCTCAATAGGGGATTCGCCAAGGTCTTCATCATCATCATCCTCATCGTCCTCTCCCTCGTCATCCTATAAGAACACATCACTCTAAGTACAAACACAAGTCGCAACTCACCAAGTCGTCCGGAGAATCTGCGAACAGCTCGTCAGCATCATCAGGGTCCTCCTCCCCATCTTGTCCCTCCACCTGAAGAAAGCTACGCTGTCGAGCCCACCAGTGTGCAACGCCTGGTACCTCAGTCTCCGCTAGCGCGACAGTTGGAGTCTCCGAAAAGAGAACGGCGAGAGTAAGGATTGACAGGAGGAATGACCAGTGGACACGCATACTTGATAATGCAACAATGCACAATTAAAGCCTGTAATTATTTTCCAACAGTCAAATTTTTTTCAGTTGCGCTCCATGGAGATCTTTCTAGCGTACCCACAGCTATGCCCAGGAGTTCCACCGACATAAGAACTGCTATTAAGTCGCCGAGTAGGAGCCAGTACGGTGTAGGCGGTGCTACTCACCAGTTTAGGCGGAAACTGCTACAAGGTTTCGAGGGGGTTGTTGGACCCGTATGAATTCTATGGCAGAACGCATGAAACAAAGTGTCACGCGCCACGAAATTCACGCGCTTGTCACAGCAAGAACGGTCGTCGGTGAGTCGTAACGAGATGGGCAACACTTCGATACCTGTAATGTCTCCTAATTCTACTGTTGAATTGATTCCTTGAGTCCGTCTCTCTACTATTGTCTCAGCAGCTGGGCCGAGGGGGACTATTCAGAAGGAAGGTCGGCCCCGGAAGGCTAGACATGGCCAGCGACCACTCCGGCGTAATTGTGTCCGTGCAGGGACTACTCCTAGAGATATTTTCGGACTCTTGACGCCGCTGAGTAGTTAGGTAACTTTTTCCAACAGGAGTCTTCCGTAAATGCTCACATCCATAACTGGAATCGCTGGTTGTATCCTCACAACTGCTCAACTGCCACTCGGCGTTCTCCGTCGTAAACTCCGCCGAGATCATCGCAAGTATCTTATGACGGCATCGGCGGCAGTTTTAGTGGAGTTTTGGGTAGGGGTTCGGATGGAATTGCTCCTCAAGAGAAAGTGGTCTTTTATCAGTCTTCGCAAACTCGGGCCATTAGTTGTGTTTCTCCACAGGTGACCAGAAAACACGGCATTCTCGCCGGACTCTTCGCTGGAGCTCTCCACTTCGTCGGAAGTCGCTTGGTCATCCCCGGGATCACCGGCGGGATCGGCTCTGGGAAGTCCACGGCGGTCGCATATCTAGAGGCGAAATATAATGTCCAGTAAGAGAGTGGTCGTTTCTCGTGAACTGTGCATATGTCTCTTCCTCCTCCAGGGTTATCGATGCGGATAAGATAGCTCGAGAAATCATGGAGCCGGGCCGTCCAGCATTTAATGAAGTAGTTGCTTCATTTGGAGATGGAATAGTAACTCCTCAAGGCCAAATCAACAGGCAGAAATTGGGCGAACTTGTAAGCAGGGAACTTTCTAGACGGCATTTCACGAAGGTCTGCAGTTGTCTTCCCGATGTGTTACAGTTTCGTGCAAACAGAAGGTTGTTGATGGATATGTTCATGTGTAGGTTTTCGCCGATGCAAAGGCTCGAGCCTTGCTGAATACAATAACTCACAAGCATATCATTATAACTATGCTGTGGCGACTTTTCTCCTATCGTGTGCTTCCTCCCTACAACAAGCCTCCGATAGTGATGGATGTGCCTCTGCTGCTCGAGACGCCGGGGCTGTCGTGGGTCTGCGACCCGGTGGTTGTCGTCTATGTGGACCCCCAAACTCAGTTGGATCGTCTTGTGAAGCGGTGCCCGACTGAGAGTGTTACGAATCTGACTAACAGAGTTAAGTCGCAGATGCGCCTTGAAGACAAGGCCGCTCTTGCTGACCGAGTTGTGGATAATCGTGGCGACTTGAAGCACTTGGAGAAGCAAGTTGATGATTTGTATGAGAAAGAAATCAAGAATATGTAACGAAGTTCAAACAGCTGTGTACGATTGGATTTATTCTCGGGTGTGTCAGTAGTACTGATCCGTTTTATATTGCTACTGGTCGCCCTCACTCAGCAATATTTACCAGCATCATTCCCCTTGGTCTCGTTGTTGGGTTCACATGATGATTACAGTCGTGGAAATTTTACCACAGTTACGTTGCAAATTAATTAAACTTTTTCGACCATGTCGTCAAGTTCTACGAACGACGTGAAGAGAAGTCCTCCTCGCACGCCATCGGGCCTCCAGCCCATGGATCAGTTCAGCGAGGTGGCACAGACCGTTGCTTCGTTGCCAGCGATCTTCCGCTATCATCACAAGCCTTACGACTCCGTTTACGACGAGACTTTCATGTCCAAGAATTTCCGCTTGGAGCCTCCTGGCCGTCCCATGGGTTGGAGCATGGAGGAATGGCAGATAGCAAAGGAGACGGTCGCCTTGGGAATAACCTCGACTATCATCAAAGTCGTTGATCGCCCTGCAGGTTCTGGTAGTGAGTGACGTCCGTATCGTCCTCGTCTTTTTACCTAAGAAATTTTGTTAGCTAGTGTCCTCAGACAGCTAGCGTGTTTGTATTATTCTACTGTTTATCATCGGACGTCTAGACTGATGATCTATGATGAATATATAATTGTATTTCGTTATCCCTCAGAGAGTAGCCGGTACTAGCGATAATTTTGTCTATCATCGCTCTATCAAGCTCGTCGTGCTCCTCTTACGTTACCGTTTAGTGCTGTCGTTGGAGTAGCATGTACTAATCCGCAAAGTACTGCAATGCATGTTAGCCCCACCGTTATTGTGTTCTCTCGAGTTCTCGAAAGGAGTATGGCTGACAGTAAGTCCCTTCCCTCTTGAGTCTTCCATCCATATGGATTGCAGACCCCTCAAAGTAGTAGTATACATTTGAATGAAGCGGTGATTGATGTCGACGGTGCTCCTGCAGCTGCTACCATGGACACTGGAGACAATAGCTGACATTTATGCTCACACGCATGCAGTCTCGGATGTCGATGTTTGATCGGTCACTTGGCCGTATATGAAGTTTATTAGTTATCCGCTGCCACTCCAAACTCGGAACACAAGTCGAGACAACCACCGTGACGGTGGCACCGTCCACAACTACATAATTATCTCCCGATTTATCTCTCAACTCGATATTACAGCGAATTTGTCTTTCCTTTCCAAGATCGGTTGGCTGCATATCATCCCTGTCATCATTGAGCATATCATACGAATGACCCACTCGAATCACATGGCTACTTGTCGATCCAACTTATTCCTTCGGAATAACCCGGCGGAAAATTTGCGGTAAAGTGTAGACAATTTCGACCGGGTGAAACGCTAACAGTCGAGTCTTCTCATCAAGACATGTCAATTCAGAACCGCCAGTAGATCAGTCACATTGGAATTTCACCTGGTTTACGGAAAGTGGCGTAAAACTCGGCGATATCCGCGCTATGCAGTAGTCGTGAAATATGTTTTTCACTAGCGTTTTCATATCACGGGTGGAACTTTGTTATACAAACATGAATCCTCGCTTACTCACACTACAGCTAAAAGTCTTGTGAGTAGCAATTACCCCAACATAATTCCCCTCAAACCCCTCACATACTAACAACACAACTCTACTCTATCAATTACTTCCAGCCAATATCCCTAGCACCGTTGCAAGAGCCTCAGAGTGTGCCAAAAGAAACTTTGCTGTTGCGATGACGACAGTACAACGCTTACAGCTGGATCTTAGCCTCCTCAGACTCGGGGATGACGTTACGGTCAACAGCGGTTCCCTCCTCAGCGGACTCAGTGTGGAGCTCCATCAAACGGGTGAGGTCGAACTTCGGCTTCTTGAGGATCTTTACCTTACGGATATAGCAATCCTTAAGAGGGTAGATGGAACGAGTCTGCTTCTCGATCTCGGCACCGATGGACTCGGTGACGAAACGCTTGACGAGATCACTCATGCGGCACTTGGAAGCCTCGGCGGTCATGATGTCAACCATCCTGAATTGAAGAGAAAATGAATGTTGCAATTCAACTCTTTGAAGAAAACCCGCATTACTTTCTGCGGATCCTGCGGATCTGAGCAGCGCTGGCATAGCAGTTGGCCTTGACGGACTCCGGGCGCTTCTTGGTGAAGCCGATGGAGAAGAGACGGAGAATGTAACCATCAGTAGTCTTGACGTCAACGTGGGCCTCGATCAAAGTCTGCCACTTGCGGATGAGCGAGCAGAGCTTGTCACGGGTGAAGTCCATGCCGTGGAAGTCGGTGAGGGCGTTGCGGCCTTGGACCTCCTGGACCTCCAACTTGATCTTACGGAAGGAGTGATCTTCGTTGGAGTTCAAATCGGCAAGGTTGACCTCGCAAACGCGACCCTTGAGGGCATCAGAGGCAATCTGAAAACAGAAGCATATAACAACCATGAACAGTGAACAATCAGCTCGAGAAAGTGAAGCGAAATGGGTAAGAATTATTACCTTGGTACCGGTGGTCTTGGTGACCAAAGTCTTACCGGCCTCGCGGACGGAGAACATAGTGGGGGCCTTCACCGAGTACCACTCCTTCTTGAGGAAGGGATCTCCTCTGAAATAACAAGGACAAATCAAACTATATAATATACCCAGGAACCGAATCCGATGCTTCTATAGAGTTGACAGACCTTGCCACTGTCACTACTACTACCCATTATTACACCTTCTTCTTGCCTCCCTTCTTTCCCTTGGTGAGTCTCTTGTTCTTGCCAACGGCCATGGTGCTGGTGTACGAGGTCGCTACACTAGGTCGGCGCGAACTCTCGATCGATCACGTGATCGATTTTAATAGAGCGCGGGCGGAGCGAAGCCGCATTTTTACACTTCCTATTCGTAGACTCTACACCATCGTGATATGACTACACCCAGCACAATACCTCCCGGATAAGGTGCTCGTGATACGCTCAGCAGTGTCTCCTTGAGTATTGTTTTATTGTATCGATAAATTGTCGATGCTTCGGACAAAAGTTTTTTTTAACAGGTGCTTTATGATGGTTTCCATGACCACGTTCGGATCGGCATGTCAACGTGTTTGCCAAGCCTCATCACATGCCCTCAACGTTTATCGCTGACCCCCCTGCAACTAGTGAACTCAAGTGTAATGTTGGTATGAGAGAATATACGAATATACGCCGCAAACACTCTTCTTCAACTCCACTGCCATCTCAGTCTACTCATCGTCGGTCTCCTCCCTCTCTGTTGCTGCTCTCTCGGGCTTCTCCTCCACCACTGCGACCATAACGCTCTGACCGGTCTTGACGGGAATCAGAGCGTCTTCTGTAGTAGTCCGACGAACGCCTAGGGTGTTAACAACAGTAATTTACCTAGTGGTAAAACAGTGCATCTAATAACTGCTCATTGTGTACCTGCGAACTGCCCGCCGGCCGCCCTCACTACTAGATCTAGCTATTGCGCTAATACTAACGTTAATCCTATGCCCCCCTCCCCTGAAGAGTGGTCACCTGTCATCGCGCCTGCGATCGCTGCGGTCCCTCGAGTAAGACCGACTTCTACTACTCCTACGATCGCGAGAGGAACGGCGATGTCGGCGGCTGCGGTCCCCGTCACGACTGTCGTAACTGCGACTCCTCCTATCACCCGAGTAGGACCGGGAACGTGAACGGGATGAGGATGATGACGAGCTGTATCCATATCTGACAGAAAACTACTGCATAGCAGATCGGAACACATGTAGACCCACTTCGCCCTTCGACGTTCTCTACTCCTACTGCGGCTCGACAGCGCGCCATAACTCCTCCGTTTTCCACTTCTGATAAACCAACAGAAATGCACTCCACGCGAGAGAGCAGACCCCACCTATTGAAACCGCCACGCTCCCTCGCTGCATATGCTGAACTTGCACTGGACTTTGCACGAGATCTATACTCAGCCTTCAGTGGTATACCATTCAGCACAACCTGAATGACGACCGAAGTAGCCTCTAGTCAGGGACCCATCTAGCATTGAAAAATAACGTCCCCTAGGGTTTGATAACAATGGGGAATATTCGAACATTTACATGGGAAACTGATTGAAAAATGTATTCCTAGCCATCCGTGGAAAATTCAAAATGAGTTCATCCCCGGGAATATTATAGGTTCCTGGATGATACCCTGCCTCCAATTCTTCTATTTGACGGTTGAATAACACTAGAGCGTCTGGACGAGAGCTATGACTACCTCTCCGCTGTCACACGCTGCCAATGCGGCTTGAGCACTGTCCGAGCGTTCGTAACGAATGTACGCGGCCATCTCGTTGCGTTTGTCCACAGGTGGTAACCAACAAACTGTGATCTGACATACCACACTTCGCACAAATCGCCACCACCACATGACTCTTACATCGCCGTATTTTTGGAAAACCTGCTTGAGCCCGATTCTGTTGGCTGCAGGTGTGAGCCCAGCAACGATGTCAATAGCGTTCTGTTGGGCATCCCGAGGCGCCTCCCGACCGAGGCCTGGACGGTAGACTGCCATAGTGAAAAGGAAAGTGACGACAACAACAGCAACTGACCTAGAAACTGCCGGCCCTAGAAACGCAATACCAAAGACTCGAGGAGACCAAGTCACAACTCCAACATGCAACGGCCAGAGCAGTGTCGTGACCAATATGACTACTGTGGGCAGATCTTCCAGCGGTCATCTCTAAGAGAAATGGACACAGGACTCGTCAACCACTCAGCACGCCATCAGTTTTAGAGAGAAGCCACAGGTAACGAAATGACAACTCTCCAATGTTCCACCACGCTAAACCCTCTCACCGAATCTGCCTGGGCCGTAGCCCTCACTCCCACCGACAGCTCCTCCCTATAACAATCATGCTCTATCTCTCACCACTACTCGAGACTGACCTCACCCAGCCCCCGTTGTAAGCCTCCGTCGGAAGGCCTCCAACTGCTCCTCCTCATCACCCACTTCCTGACGCCTCCTATACCGTAACTCCCCCTCCAACCGTTCCACTGCTGACTCTAACAGCTCGATATACTCCCTGTGCTGTTTGCGCTCCTTCCCAAACTTATCCGCCCGAGCCGACACTACTCCGCAGAGTTTCTCCGCTGCTTCGCTCCGCCGTCGAAACCTGGCAAAAACACCCGAACTTCCACCAAGGCAACACTCCCAGCCACTACATCTCAACCTCTTCCCTCGACGAGTTCAGACTTTCTGTGAGCGTCAACCGCATCTCCCTCATCTCGCCGTTCAGTCCAACGACCTCCCTCTCGGTCTCCTCCAGCTTCCTTAACAGTCGCTTCTACTCAGGAAACGAGTCCTTGCAGACTCCACAATAGTCTCCACCTTCTCCCCTTTCAAAGTCATCACAGCAACCCTCTCCTCCTTGATCTTGTCTGAAGCTCGCAACAGCAACTGCGCCACCTTACCATCTACACACCATATTTTCATTCATATCGGAGTTTCACCCGTTTCACGTGAAGTGGCGTAATACTCTGGGAAAACTCGATACTCGCACTATGCAGTAGTCGTGGAATATATTTTTCACTACTGTTTTTCATATCACTAGGGTGAAACTCCATCGCATTTATCCAACCAATACAGCAAATGATAATGGAGTT